CATGACCAATGATCAGTCCATACGCCATCTGACCCCTCAGGATCCTGGAGTCCATATGTACCATTGGCTTGGAATAAGGTTTTTCCAACTTACCTAGGTGCATCCTCAATATCCACCAACCCGGTTATAGCACCGGAAATTCACTTTTCTTCCTCTCAATTTCGTGAACAACAATCCCATCATGAGAAGGAAGTGAGTAGGACTTCATTGAAAGAGGCTATATACGCGTGGCCATGTGAGAGCATTTCGAAAGAGAGAGAGCTGACTCTCTCCACATCGACCGTACCAGGAAATTTAGGGGTTTTAGTGATTGTAACCATTCACATGGGATTACGTCCAGTTTCCAGATTGTAGCTAAAATATTAGTCAACCATCTTTAAAGATCTGTAGAGTTAATCCATCCAGACCAGCTGCCCTTTCTTGTTTAGAATTAGCTGTAACCTTTTTAACTTCGACTAGAGTCGGGAGGTCAAACTTTCATGTTCAACTAAGGCTGTTTTAGAATAGTGGTCAGGTGTAATGTATCTGAAAGCCAGCCGAACTACTCCTCAAAGTGATCCGGCCATCGTTCCAGACGTCTGGACTGAGACCAAATAGGTGTCTTTTTTTCCGAGTTCGCCTCTCCCTATATTTCAATATAGCGCTTATTAAACATAAACGATTTTCTCAGCGAACTTGCAGTAGACGGTCACCATTACCTGTTTGCTGAGCCGGAATCCTGAAACACCCACCCAAATATCTTTCTTCCCTAACTACTTGGTTATTAATTTCGTCTGCTACGAGTGTTTAGTTTTGTGAAGAAGTTCAGAAAGCATCTATCAAACTCATCTTTCTCTTCATCCGAGATGCAGTGAGTGGGAGCGTAGGAAGGAATAACGGAAAGGCATCGAATTGTGTCCCTATTCCTCCGAGTTTTTACGTGTCCGTTCAGTCGAGCAGCATATGGACTGTTAACAGAAATCTATTCTAATGATGCCTGTTCTGTTCTCGTTCTGGGAAGCACAAAGCCAACGACTCTAGTGTGTGAAACACTGTGCCCAGTCTACTGAATGCTCGAAACTTCAAGTTCTGAGAGTTAAATCGAACTACCATACAGTTTTAAAATAAACACCCAAATGCATGAAATATATGCTGATAATTTAGCCAAATTTCTCGAAGTAAGGAGAACAGACTACAGCGAAATTATCATTCCACATTTAATAGTAAATCGAATCATCACAAAAAGTCAACTAGTTTCGGCAAGTCTACGTCGATTACTGTCAGACGAACTTACCATTTCAAAAATCAAATATGAACACGTGATGTGATTTGGAATAATTCATTATTCGAGCATCCTCTGTACAGCTTCGCTTAACGTGGTACTGAGGAGGAGTCCGGATTCGCGACTTCGTGCTGAATAACTAACTTTACCTGATCGTTACCCGAGACCCATTTGCAAGATTTGTTGCTTGCGTTTCATCCAAAACAATGGTTTTCTAAAATCGACCTTATGCGAGCATGCCGCAAGACTGCACTACTCTCCAATGGATAAACTTAGTAATATACCGTCTCTGGGTCGAACGGAGTAATATGTGACTGAATTGTTATAGGTTATTTTTAGTTGATCAGTTAAAACAGCCACTATTCTTTAGTATCACGCGTTAAAGTTCAAAATATCATAGAGCAGGTGCATTGTGATGTCAGCCACTCGGGAAAACGAAAAACCGAACATTCCATTTGCCAAAGATTTGTTTGATCATCCATCCACGAAGATGTTTTGAAAGGACAATTTGAAGAATTTTGGAAAAGTTAAAACTTGCTACTTCAAAAAATCACTCCGTTAACCCTAATGATAACAGCTAGGCCATATATGCGAGTTGGCATCGATATTGTGGGGCCGTTTCGACGACGCATATCTCCGAGTCAAAACCAATCTACAGAACGCCAACAAACACCAGAATAACATGTACGACAAACAACTGAACTGGCCGGTGTATAAACGTGAAGATCGTTTTTGGCAGCAACGCCCTGAAGCTTCACAAGGGACTTTCAGCAAGTTCCACCATTCTTGGTATGATTCTTTCGAGACTGTGTTTATGTGATCTCCTTTTAACTTTGTCTTTCTTAACCTTTAGCGGCTTCAAGATGACGTCATAATGATACGTTGTAACCTGTTGAAACCAGAACAAATGGCGGCGCACTTAGATACCCAGTTTGCCGAATAATAGCCTGCCACCAACGATTACGAAGTGTCATCAGAATGACATATGGCATATCCATATTTACATTAAAATTACTGTAGCGTGGTGTCGAGTCGAATATCCATAAAATCCCCCGGAAGCCAAATATCAGAAGGCAGCTAATGGACCAATTCGAGATATATTTGCTGGCGATCTCGTGGTATCGAAAGAATACCGAGATCGTGCCATGATAAAAGCTTGGTTACAGAGCGTAACCGAATTCGTGCGAGGTCACAATTGAAGTAAGTATCATGGATGTTTTTATCACAGTTAAACAAAGAGCACATTAAAACAAGCACTGGTACAATTGATTATAATAATAATTTTTTTCAATAAACCAATCGTGTTCTCGTGATAAAAGTAAGTCACTACAATACTATGAACAGTGCTTCATGTAGAGAGGTTGCTGTGACAATATTAAATAGTATTATATTTAGTTTTAGTAAAGTGAATCTTTTAACGAGGCTATAATTTATGGACGAACCAATCAAATATAAGGTAACAGGTCGCGGATTTTAGCTCGAAGCTCATTCATCCATTTGGCGAAATATAATTTTGACGTTATGGCTGATGTTAATTCGTGACGAAAACCTTAAATCTCATTACTAACCCTAACGATGAACTGTAAATGATGATTCTAATTAATCTCACTAGTTTAGAACCCTCATTTGGTACCAGTTGTACGGTGGACACTCAAGGTCACTTCAGCGTCACCCAATGGTCGTCCATAAATTATAGTCTAAACAATCTTCTCTATAGCAAGGCGACGAAAAGTAAGTGGACTGGAAGAAGAACAAGTCCTGATCAAACTGGACTTGAAAAATGACGTATGAGACTATTATGTAAAGAACCTCTCCATTTACTTACGGGACCGCGTTATTCGATTTTTTGAGAATGTATGCATGTTTAAAAACATTTCATGCAGTTTTACTTGCACGTTGTGTTCTTCCTCCCCTCAGATGCAGTGATCCTGATTTGTATGCTATTGTTTTGGATCTCTCATGCTTCCAAATCAACGCCGATATCATGTGTTACAGCTTTGCCTCAACGTGTCTACAATTTAACCCTTTAGTTGCACATCTTCCCAAAATTGTCTGCTTCCTGGGAAAAAGGTGGACATTTCATATAATTCTCTGGTTAAAATCGACCTCCCTTCCCCAGTGTTTTCCAAAATATTTCCTGGAATGACTCGTTTTCGAAGTTAGGTGAACATTGATGCAACAACATTGTTTCATCCATATTCAGGAATTACTTTTCATTCTTCGAAGTGTAAAGAAGTTCATCTGAGACATGTCTCAAACCTCATATACAATTTAGGGGATTACCCCTTAGATGTGCTCCAGGTTGAGGAGCTGGGAGTCTTGGTATTTTGTTATATGATTGTTGAGCTATGACGAAAGTGCTTTTAGAACTTGCATGTAGTTTCTATCACTTTTGTCCACTGTTATTTAGAGTACGGAATTTCAGTATTTCCTCACTCCGAAGGAATAAGAGTACCCTAAAACATTTATTTATTTGAACACAAATATTGGTACCAAGGGTCGCCGAATACATATGCGCCACACGTCACTTGGTTTTGTGGTATCCTAAACAAACTTGAATACCCTCTTGATTATCTGAGGTTAATTTCCAACAAAAATCTTAGAGGCAATACCCTGAAATTAAAAGTACAACATATGAAACGACTGTAGGCACACCCACTTTTTGTGAGTAATCTAGTCCTGGAATTAGCTTCCAGCTGAGATGGTCTCAACAACTTCCCAAGAGTCCTTTAAGAAAAAAGTTGATGTATACATATAGACTCAAAACAGCATTTCATTATAACTTATGTATCTGTCTTGTTTGTTTAATATACTTAGTGGATTCCTGAAGGTATTGGTGATACTCTGCTACTAGATACTGAAGCCTGTTAAGTAAAATCTAACCTTTCCACAACCATCTGGATTCAATGATCAAGTGTACTATCTAAATATCCATTTAATAATAGTAACCCTACTGCGTTAATAGCCCGTTTCATCAGTATGATAGCTCATCAATATCTTCCTCTGCGTCTTCGTCTACTATAAGGTTCATTTTTAAAATTCATCCATCTATTGCCCCTGTAACCTGTCGCGGTAGCTTACTATTATGGTCTCAACTCTTCATGGCTCATCGGTCTTAGTTGTAAGGTGTTGTTACACAATCCAAAACTTAAAACGACCCTTCAAAATTGAGCGATCCGGTCATGGTGTTTAAAAATATCGGTTCCTAATGTTATTCTAAGTGAATCTACACTTAAAATCCTTTTCCGCGAAACTTTTGCTCGATGTTGTTAACTTAGGGTACCGTATTCTTCTGCAAACAACCATATTTAGTGGTGACTTACTATTAAGCAATCAGCGTCTATCAATAGTTTTTGTTTGTGTGTACAAACTAGATATTATATAAATTAGCTTAAACTGTACTGGAAGCGAGTTGGTGGGTAGATAACTGAAGTTGCATCAACTCATTACCACATTTCCCACGTACTTGAGGCGCTTAAGGTACTATCTAAAGGTCTTTTTATCTGTATAGTCCCTATCCTTAAAAAGAAATTACTCGTGGTATCTTTTTTTGTAAAGCGAGGCCTGTTTGTACCTTATTCTGCTAGTATTTATTCTAATTTTTATTAGTTTTTATCATCTAAATCCTGATAACCCACATTAGTTTTGTTTTCCAGATTCTACTTAGTCAGTTAGAAACTACCTAATGCAATCAAGCTGATTTACATACTGTTACTTCTCAGAAATATTCTAATGCATAATGCCTTTTGCATCATTCAAGAATGTCCAAAAACGACTCTCCAAAATTCATAAAGAACGTTCCCAAGTATGCCTTTTTAGCCCTTTCGAAATATTTCTTTTTCTTTAGCCTCAACGTAGACACCATCTTGGAATACTACCGAAAAAACAGGATTTCCGTTTAAGAGCCAAGTGAGGTTGAATTACATATTTCACTTTGATGTTTCAGGGATAAGGAATCAAAAAGTGCTAAAATAAAAGAGTTAAGAAGTAAAGCTTTAGATAAAAACACAGATGAATTTTACTTCAATATGTGTAATTCTCGTTTTGATGTGAGTTGTTATCTACATGAAGCCTAATTTTATTGTTTTTTATTTAGATGGAAAAAGGGCATATTCCGTTAGATGTAGAAAAAAGTTATTTAGACTCTGATATTAAGTCATCATTTTATAAAAACGTTACGCACCTACAATATGAATTACAAAAAGAAAAGTCTAAGATAAATCAACTTGAGTCGAAGACTCATTTACTGCAAAGTGAATCACAAAATCCCTGTTCGAGGAAGACTCCCAAACATATTGTATTTGCGGAAACCTATGGTGAAATGGTTGAACTACACCACAAATATGCGGAGAAAGTACAAGTGGATGAAACTATTTTTGACAAAGTGTCTTCCAGTGACCCTTCTTTTGAAGACATTTATTCTCAACGTTTTAATGCTTACAAGGAATTATCTGAACATCTAGAAAGAGCCAAACAGTTGAAATATCTTTTGCGTCAGCACGAAGCTAAGAAAAGTCTTATGGTATGTTCCTATTCAAGACATATTTATTAGTTGATATTCGGACCAGTACTTATTGTATTCCTTAGTTCCTACTGTATAGATGACCTCAGTTGTTTGACATCCGTAGGTTAATTGGGTGATGTTTGAAATTATGTGGTAACTGTTAGACTAAAAATTTAAGATTAGTTAAAATTATTTAAGACTAAACAAATAAATTTCTATCTTTGAATTAATTTTAAAGTAAACTAATGCACAGATCTTTGTAGTGGGGCCAGCACGCGTGCATATAGTTTAGCTTGGATTCAACTTTGTATAATATATGGAGGACTAATAAGATGCATACAGATAACACATTCGTTATCACTAAAAATTTGTCAGCTGGTAATTACTTACGATTTGGCCAACAACGCCTATAGTGACGTAAGATTTAAACTAGAAACGGATTTAGACAATAAATTACCATTCTTAAGTCTGTCGATCACCAAAATCAGTGCTAACAAACTCGAGTAAATTGTAAACGAACTCACATTAATCAAATTGTGGATTACGTCAGCAAAAACTTAAGGACTTATAAATTAATCTGTGTACAAACTGTTCAAAAGGCAAAAATGTACTGAAACACTTAGCAGAAAGATATGAAATACCCAATCGATGCATGTCAGAAGTATAGCCACCTACACGATTTAATCAAGAAATCCATATCGATCCCATCGCCGCGTAAAACAATCAGCAAACGTATAGTCCTTCCGCACATGAGAACGCCTATGTTAAAATAGGCAAATTACTAAGCTCGCAAAATCCCGATGTTCAATATCAAGCAAGCCAAAGGACACAATGGCAAAAAATAAACGAAACACTCTTCCATGATCTGCGAGAATACTATGGGACAAACTGGCCTTCCTGTTCACCTGCCTCTACGTAAATGCCAACAAGCTGTCAAATGTTACGACATATCGCTGATACCGATGAATGTGAGCAATTCTGAACACAGCTGATCGGGAAAGCGAAAATATAGATAGGTGAAACAATCCCATGATTCTCAGGTTATTCATCAATTAATGGATATATCGACATTGCCCGAACGTTATTGCTACCTTGACGTGGTGTTCGGGCTTGCCTATCGTGATAAACCAATCGAGCTATACTGGCTGAAACAATCTTTCCTCAAGGTCCTACCATGCCAGACAGGTTGGTTGAAGAGCGGTAAGAATAAAAGCAGCAAACTCAAGGTGCGTTCCGTCCTACTGTACGGCTGCAAAATATGGCCATTAAGAGTAAAAGATACTCGTAATCTATTAGTATTTGATCACAGATGTTTTAGAGATATTGCTCGCATCTGCTGAAATCACCGGGTAAGTAATAGTGAGGTTAGACGCAAGGTATTAGGAAGTGATGGTAAATCAGTTGATGAGGTTGTGAATATTCATCGACTGAGATGGTTGCGTCACGTATCATACATGCCCGACTACCACAACGCACAATGCTGACTAGTGTTGTAAACAGTTGGAAGAAAGTTAGGGGCGGCCAAACCAAAACATGACATCAGTGCTCGAAGTCACTAACTTCTCGTCTTAGCCGTGTCGTTAGATGCAGAATACTTGGCAGGGGTCCGCGTGACTATCGTAACCAATGGTTGAAGACTCTTGGTAACATGGCTCAGAATCGATCACAATGGCGTCGGTGTAAACACTTTTTGTCTTCCTTTAAATTATGAGATTAGAATCACTTCATACCTTTCTTCCTGCCAACCAATTCTTTCTTCCTGTATTATATCCTTATTGCAATCTTTCTTTTATATATTACTACCATTGAAGTAACTTTCTATGAAGTTTGTGTTCATCTTGTGCTAATGAGGCATGGGGTCTTGGACCGATGCACATATGTGCCTGGTCTTGCGTTGTAGTTGACTGACTGAATTATATCGAAATTGGCTCAATCTGTCAGGAAAAATAACTGCAACGTTGGAAATCAGACTGATAACCAAAATAAATCTCCAAGCAAAGACAGCAACTGATCGAATTTCACGTCAACATAACAGGCTTTTATTCAAGTGTGGATAAATCCCAGTGCCTCACTTGTTTCGAACTATGTACTCAGGATGTTGTGCAGCTCAGAGAACATAACACCTCCGAAATGACATAGTTGTACCTGTAGAACTACTAAATCTTGAGCCCCCCATACTATCAGACAATGATGATGTTTCTCCTTAATCTGTTCCTTCTGATTCCTCCATTTCCATTATTTTTAGCTACATTTCCAGTGTTTGGTTTGCTATCACGATTTATATAAAAATCAATTGTTGAGTCAATTGAGGCTAGCCCCCAAATGCCCTGGTATGGCCGAGAGTGGGGTGGGCCCGCCCTCCCTCTCGAAATGCTCTCACACAACCACGCGTATACTGCCTCTGCCAGGGAAGTCCTACTCATTGCCTTCTCGTGGCGGGGGTGTTGTTTACGAAAATGAGAGGACGAAAAGCGAATGTCCGGCGCTTTAACCGGATCCCAGACCAATGGTGAACATGGGTTCCAGTATCCTGAGGGAACAAATGGCGTATGAACCAATCTTTGGTCACCGGCTACCATTGGACTGCATCTCCTCACGATGCTCGACTGCCTCGTGGGTTAGACCTTCAGGTCGAAGGCTCGGGGTGTGGCCCCCTAAGATAACCACCTGCTTCGGTCTGGGCATCCGAGCAGTATCACAGCCCGCACACAAATATGATGAACTGTCGATAATTATGGAAAATACTTTTCTTGCTTCAACTATTAATCAAACGATTCACATTATTATTATTACTATTGTTATTATTTACTACGTCATTTATTTGCTCTCTTTTATTCCTACTCTGTCTATCCTTATTTTTCGACTTATACAGCAGCTCGTCTATGGTGGAAATTCGGTTCTATCTAAACGTTCTCGAGTAGAAACGTTATCAGATATGGCTCAGAATAGAAGCCAGTGGTGATCCTGCTGTAACCTTTTACTTTCTTCATAAAAAGTTGTTGCTTCTTCCTTGACTGAAAGATCTCTTCTGAGTTTACGTTTCTGTTTCACCCATTATTATTATTACACTACCTTACACTAATCTATTCGTTATCGTTTTTTTTACGCTCCTTACCTTTTTTTTCCTTCTCTGCAAATTCTCATTGTTTTGTGTGGTGCATATATATTTGGTGCCCTCCTGTACCAATATTTATGTGTTTAAATAAATAAAAAACCTGGAAGCATTGATAATAATCAACATATGCTCACCAGTGACTTGCTTCAAGATGTGTATCCTGGAGTTCTAGTGAGAAGCAGTGACCAGAGGAGTTCAACCGGGTCAGTTGTGAGACAGTAACTCACTGACAATGGTGGATGTGTCGCTCAGTTTCATAGATTAGTTGAAGTTAGACATTAACACCATTGGATGCCGGCTCAGTGGTTAAGTGCTGGAGCGCGAGACCAGTAGATCATGGCTTTGAGTCCCGCGAGGCGGCATCATGGATGCGCACTGCTGACGAGTCCAACAGTAGGACGAAACGGCCGTCCAGTGCTTCCAGGTTTTCTATGGTGGTCTAGCTTCAATTGACTCATGATCTCAACAATTGAAATTACTAAAATCTCCACAAAACCCCCTTATATAAATATCTAGACGTTTTCGCCTGTTTTCTTTAATTCCGTTTGAAGCCCTTAAGGAATAACACCGGTCTTAACGTCGAATAAAGAAAGTGGGTTGGGTGTAGTGTTGAATACATCGTAACAAGGAATCTTATCAAAAAAGAGTGATCAATTCAACCGCTGAAACTTTATCTTGGTAGTTGAGGTGTCTTTATACAGAAGTTATGGTGAAAGGCGCAATTTTTCGAAAGGCAAATTTCCCTTCTAACAACCAGAATATGGAATAACTGGATAATATGGAGCTCGAAAAAGTCAATTCAGTAGTGGTGAAAATGCGAATATACAGCCTGATCGTGTTTGGAACAAGTGAAACAAACTAGAAACAACGTAGGCAAAAGAACTAACTTCTGGATGATATTGTTGCATTGTGCTCATGGCGAAGAAAATGACTCTAAAACAAACACGTTATTTAAAGAAGAACAAAGCGCGCTTATTTATTTGAAAACTCAGCTCCAGGACTATCAAAGCATCCTTCAAAACAAAGAAAATAAGGATAACAATAAGTGTGATGCAGTGTTGTGCACCTACCGATAATGAGATCCAAGGCGAGAAAGATTAGCTATGTGATCATGCTGGCCATCCTAGAGAGGGCAGCAAAGCGACCAGACAATTCAGTAATGACAAAGCAACATACCGAGTGAAGCACTGAATCTAATCAGAGGTGGTTACAAACATGCTCTACGTTCGCTTTGAAAAGATTTGGGAGGGACAATTAATACTAGCAAACTGGAGGCAGGGATAGCTCATAAAAATGCTGAAGAAAAGGAGTTTTAGTAAGTGTGAGGACTACAGGTTGGATTTTGTCGTTTATAAACCGAATGGAGACTCTGCGAATAACTGTCGAACAACCAATTAAACGGAAATCATCGCTATACATCAACTGGTTATGAGAAGACGTTCGATAGCGTGCATAGGTGAACCGTTTGGAATCATCTCATCTTGTAAGCTATTTTTGGAGAGTATCAGTGCAACTCTTTGTGTATGCAAGGCATTTTCTTCTTTGTGACCATAAGACAACGCGATCTCCCTTGAAGCTAGTCTTTTCTGTTGGGCTTATGTCCAACGGGTTTCATTTATTTGAAGCACTGCCAGGTTGTATCTTCTCATCTCCACAGCTATTTAAATGGTCCTCCCAGCCTTCAATATTGTGCGACAATCCGCATACTTATACATTATTCTGAACGCTAGAAACGGGGTCGGCCTCATGTTTTCGGAAGTCATGGCTTTCACTATGAGGGTTCATAACTCATTTATATAAAAATCCTTCAATTGTCAGGACAGTGTTTAAATGCTTTAAGTAAATTTCCTGGTTGGTGTATCTTATCAAGGTTCTTTACTACTGGATAAATTTGCTTAGTCTATGATCAACCCTTATTTATCCAAGTTTGGGACTGGTAGTCATCCTAGAAGGGTACATTCCGGAATAACGGGTATAATAATATGAAGGCAAAAGTATTCCTTAAGATAATACAATTAAGAAGAAAAAACACTAAAAACGAACTAAAACAAAAATCTACAGATTGCTTTTCACATTATCATAAGTACCACTAACGTTACTGATTCCTGTTCTGTTGTATTACAAACACCAACGACCGATACTATGTCTCCACTCAACTCGAAAAAAATAACATGAGGCTTCGCGGAACAATATCTTATTTGTCTAGCCATCTTTTGATTTTACTTCACTTCGGAATAAACTGCCAAGATAAGTTTGTGTCTCAGTGTACCTAAATCCATATGCAAAAAACCGATATGGTGGATCAAGCCGAATTCAAAGTTTTTTTTTTACCTATCTATAAAAGTAAATATTTCTTTAATCGAACCTTACCATATAAAGTGTAATTTCTTTTCTACTAGGCAAATTTAACCAAAAGAGCGTACAAAACCGTATTCAAAGGAAGTAAGACGGCGCCTCCCGTTTATGAATTTGAACCTGTCCGGGATCGATGAACATTTGAATTTTGTTTAGAGTCATCTAATTTGTACATTTCATTGTCTCTGATGTATGTCCAGGAACATCTAAAGAGTTTCACCATATGACTTAGTGTTTTCTACTTAATCAGCAGTAGTCTGCTCACCTGATATCTTGTTCGTGTTTAGTCCCGTCACAAACTGTTGTAACGAAGGGAATTCTACACGATGCATATATGTGCCTGGTCCTCCATTGTAGCTGACTGACTACACGAATGGTGTAAGTTTTATGGTCGTTTTGAATGAACCGTGGTCAAAGTTTAGCTACTCACAACAACTGATTTACTCATACGATGCCTTAATGGAATTTTCAGATCTTATTGCTCATAAATAGTGGTAAAACTGGGCACTAAAATAATTATGGGCCACAAAAATGAAAAAAATAAGATTGTTAATAGATAGAAGAGTCGAGGGAACTAAAATCAAATATAGATGTATAAGTAAAATTAAAAGAAAGAGAATATTATGTAACAGAAGTCACATTTCTGTTACGAATGGAACGAGAAAGAATTTTCACTTAAGTATGTCCCTCCCGCTTTTGCATGCATGTATAAAAAAACCACACCAGGACAACCACTATCTCTTATTCTGATCCATTTCTGATAATATCTCAACCCATTAGGTTGCAAGAGGAAGTCGCTATAAACCTGTAGGTGCTATTCCTGTACATCTTTTCACATGACTGCTTTGAGTCATAACTCAACCATCTCTCTGCTTTTCCCATCGAATGTCGGCAAACAATATTCGATGTCGACATTAATAATATATTTCCAAGTCACAAGGCGGTGTTTCAACATGGTGACACCAGTTGAGTTGTCGTCACTGTAACTAAACGTATATCCGAACCCTACAGATAACTGGTGTTGTCACTGGATGTCATAAATCCCTCGGAGACAACGATGATAGCGTTGCTGAAAATCCTCGACTCAGAGAGTCCAGACTTCACAAAAATGTAGCAGAACTGCTCTGATCAGCATTTTGCAGCCAGACTAAGATCACGACGGCCATAAAGATGACTCAGACTAACAAAAGGCTAGACCCACCTGTCGCGCCATTACAATCTCATAAAAGTAAGCAGGTAGATTGATTTCCCGACCACTAAACAGCTCACTACTGAGAGTCAGTATAAACATGCTTCTACCAGTCTTAAAGAAGTAATTTAGAAGGCGCAAAATACATTCCACAATTATGGACATCAATTAATTAGATTGGATCTGGATGGACTGTGTACATACCGTTAAGTTTGCTAATCAAATCCTTACACACACCTGCACTGTGAAGCGAAAGCGACTATAATATCAAGGAACAACCGTCTCTGGTTTGCAATCATCGTGTAGGTGCTCTAATATTGGGCAAAATATAATGCGATAAACGTATCCACAAACTTATTGAAAACAACCCTGCTTCCCACAGATTTTAGAGAATTGTTCAATGTGAGAGATTGCAATAGATTTACCCCCTGATACTTGTATGATTTATGTAGGTCCTTTATGAATATATGGGTAAAGGTCCCTTCACTTTGGGATGTTGAAAAAATCTCTGTTCTACAAGCATTTGTAATCACTTTTGTCGTCTCCCTGATCAAACGTTTGCCTCATCCGTGTATCAAAAGATAACTTAACTAAACTGTAGAGACGAGTCATTTTGTACAATAATGGGAGACAACTATGTGTAAAAATGACTGAGACGCAATGTCTGTATGACCAATGAATATGGATTTTTCTAGGTCGGTAAACAACGTGCCAAACTAAGCGCTGATTGTCGAGATTGCTTATTACTGGTTATCTTAATCCAATTAATTCAAACCTTAATAACGAACCTAGTCGTCCAGGATGGAGTGACTTAACAAGCGACTGATACTGTGTTGGAAAATCAACACTCGCCTAGCTGACCCGTCATACAAATGTTCCTATGAATATAAATATGATATTATCTGGAGTTACGTCATTAAAGAAATAAAATTTAATGTTCACCGCTATTAAAAGGTTTCTATATATACTGGATGTGAGAAATAAAGTTTGATGGGAGATTTTTCGGTTATGTGTTGAGTCTTGGAGTGTAGTTCCACAGTCCGAGATCTTGATGCGGCCTAAATCACAAGGTTTTTACTCAAAGGTTCTCAGTATGTCAATAAGAAATCGGCACGACTTAAGTCAGTAGCTGACTGCGCTAAAAAGGGGTATGCACTTTACTTATAGCATCAGCCACAACCATAATTATTTACAGCTTAATTACGCAGTCGGTGAAAGTGTCCTACCAATCTGTTTGCTTTTGGGTGGTTGGCGGTCGTTCGGAATCTTGTGGTTCCTGATAATGTGGTTAGGCGACGGAAAAGTCCAGATTCAAACTAGCGTCCACGGTGATACTTTAAGGGTAATCGAAGTTTGCTACCCACCGTTCGACAAAGGTGTGGGTCACTGCTTCAACAGTAATGTCCTTGATGGGTACTGCTTCTGGTCATCGAGTGAAATGGTCTACAAGTTAAGAGATAAGATAATCCATTCAGATGAACGTGATCGAGACGAGCATCAGTACTTTTGAATGAGTCGAAGGGACATTTGTTGTCTGATCACCTTAGATTCCTGGCAGCTTATACAGAAGCGTGTGTGTAGGAACTTCGAGATGCATATTATTAAATTGCCAGGCTTGTCCGTGATATCTGTAGAAAATCGTTGAGAAGTATTGCGATAAAACGAGACATTTTGGGTAATTCCACCGGAATTGCAGAAAATCCTGGGGAGATATAGAGGAAATCTCCAAATTTTTGGTGAAATATTGTAGGAAAACAAAGTTTTGGGGAAAATGTGAGATTGTGGGGTTTGATCAGTAAACATAGACGGATTTCCCCAAAATGCAATAAGACTGGTGGAAATTTTGGTAAATATTGGAGAACTTCTCAATATCTGTGGAAATGGCACCAAAACCTCAAAAATTTGGAATGTTGATGCAACTAATTGAAGACGTTGCGTCGACTGGACGATCCTCAATTGTAGATGTATCGCATAGTAAAGTTCCCTTACTTGTTTCTATCTGTTTAATACACAGTTCTAAAGTTGTCGAAGATAACTTGTGCTGAATGTCAGTGTCTTCTTTTCGAAGCTATGCGAGTTTAAGAAGGTCGATACCTTGGAAACTGTTCACGGAAGTAAAACGAAACAAAAACACTTCTAACTGCATTGTTTGCCCCCACATGTGTATTGTGTATCCAAAGTAAACTGCGAAGTATATATAGAGACCGAACGGCATGATGATAGCGGTTTTAGGAGTGTCAGCAGCAATCATGGAAATTAGATCACATGTTTTATCCAAGTCGATTTGTGAAGAAAACTGCTGTACATTTCATGGTAACTGTCAAATCGCGAATGTGAGGCGATGGGTTACGATTAGGAATTATTTTCTCACTCAATCGCCGTTATTCACCAAATAGACGCAAGTCGTTTCTGTAGTTTTTAGAGACCACGTGCAACGGAGACGCCTATGGGCTGTTTGATGACCGTATGATTCCCAAAACTGTCATGTGATCGAACTCGTTATCAGCTATTCGGGAGCTGGTTGACAGTTTTTCGAGAATGCAGATGACTGTAGTCGTGATGTGATGTGTAACGTTTCCAGTTGCACGTAGCAGTTTTGGTCGCGCTTGGTATAGCTGAGGGTACTTATCGAGAATATGCTGGAAGTGCGGATCGATCGTGTGCTTTACTATGACTGGGTATAATCTACAACCGGAAAAAGAAATTACACAAACGAATACATCAGTGTTTCTGTCTATTAGCCTCCGTTTGCGTGTGACGATGTGTAAAAAATGGTGTTGTTGTAGGTTTATACCAAAGATTGGCACAGGAACATCTGCAGCGACGAAGATCCAGTGAATAGGTTTGCGTAAATCCATGTTGAAGCACACATATCGCTTACCATATGCGGTGATCGGTTGCCGATTTACCGACTGTAAGCTGAAAACGGCTTCGTTCAGTCGGTCGCTGGAACTCGCAGGAAGTATCAGTGTCGACGAGGTAGAGAGCTTTCATCACCACATCGGTGATGCATAATTGACGGCCATGTTCTCTGGCTACGGTTTCCGTTGACGCGTGAAGATCTTCCTCGGAGAATTTGGGTGCGTCTACGGTTGTGACGAATAGTAAGACAGCGTGTCAGCGTATTACAGAGATCTGTAGCGGCGTTTCGTGTCATTTTAGGTTTTTCTTTTACTGAATGGATCTCGGTGTTGAGAGTTCTGGATATCCCCAGAATTCGACTGATAAACGCAGACTACAACTACTCGCACCTGTCGTTGAAGCTAAGACAGGAAAAGCCATCAAAGCGGACCCAATGACTAATGATTCCTCGTATTCGTAGCCATATATTTGTTGCTGAGTTATGTTGTACATCGATGTTGTTGAAGAGTTAATCTTACTTTACTTAACTGGTTAGATCTCCGAGTCTAAGAATAGCATTTTTTAGAAAGCGTGAGGTTTGGAAAATTCGCCAGTAAGCATAATAGATGTTTTGTGGATGTTATTGTAGTTTAATTTAGTAGTTGACTTCACTAGTCAATTGAAGTTAGATTTTAAACTGGCTTCCAGGTTTTCCTTGGTGGTCTTGATCAAATGACTCGTGATTTTACCCATTAAATTAAATTACTATAATATCCACAAAAAAAACCTTTCTGATAATAATAATCATATGCTCACTAAATACTGGCTTCAATAGTTATTTTCTTGGAGTTCTGGTGCGAAAGCATGATCAGTGGGGTTCAACCAGGTCTGTTATGAGATGATTACTCACTGAAGACAGTGTTGGGTGGTTGCAAAATTTTGTGCTGTTGAAGTCAGATATTAACACCGTTGGATGCCGGATCAGTGGTCTAGGGGTTAAGCGTTCGCAGTGTCCGGTAGGTCTTGGTTTCGAATAATCGGTGCGCACTGTTGCGGAGTACCATACTTGTACAAAACAGTAGCCCAATGCTTCAGGTTTTTCATGGT